AAGGTACACGGATACACACATTTTCACACATACCAGCTGACTGATCCTAAACCCATTTTCAGGTAGGGCAGCAAAGGGTGTCCTCATTACTGCCTGTGACTGTGTAGTCATCACTCGGTCACAGCTCCTGCGAGCTGAATGGGATTTTACCATCTTTTTTTCCTCTTGGTCTTCCGCCTTCTCACCTCAACTTCTCTTGCATGTCACCTTATCTGTGTCTCAGACAGCAAATCAGTACGAGGGAGGAAAGACAATTCCCTGTCCCCAAGCTCTCCTTTACACAGTCAGAACTTTGTTTTAATTTCTCTATTATTATTATTATTTTATCATAAAATGTATTTATAAAGAAAAAGAATAGGAATATTTTAAGCAAAATTTTAAACCATGTAGAAAAAAAGTAGACTTATTTTATTATTATTCATATAAAAAAATTATTCACTTAGTGATGATCAACCTCAATGCTCAGTTAACAGTGGTCATAAAAATGTTTTAGATTATTAAAAAAATAGGATACTCTACTTGTCAATGGCTAGCATCTGTAGAACAGTATTCATTATAACTTCTTGTCGGCACATAGTGACATTTTTAATGAACCAACAGAGCAAACGTTAAACCAGTGTAGATTCCACAAACAACCCAGGTTAGAATATCAGTTATAAACTTCCTTCCTTCCTTCCTTCCTTCCTTCCTTCCTTCCTTCCTTCCTTCCTTCCTTCCTTCCTTCCTTCCTTCCTTCCTTCCTTCCTTCCTTCCTTCCTTCCTTCCTGTGACGAGTTGGGAGTGAGACTGTGTTGAGTAATCCAGTCATGTTGCAGATGAAGCAAACATGTGAAAAGAAGGTGTTGGCAAAATTTATGCCTTTTGTCCATCAAAAAAGCAGAAAATAAACATGGCTGAAAGAAGGAACTCACCATTTTTGCAGAAAAAACGCGACAGGGGTGGATGTTCATCAGGAATGGCATAACTTGATTATTCAAGTTAAAATGGCCCAGTGTGAGTCCAGTGCAAAATCCAAGGGAACTTTGGGGTTATTACTTGTATATTGTTCTTTATATACACTTTCTGTTAAACCTGAATGAATGAGGTGCAGCTATTTTTCAAAAAATAGAATAAATAAAATGTTGTTTTTTTTCTGGATGTGGAAAACTCTGGCTGACAGACAATTCTACTTTATGCTGATCTATCAAATCTTGTACCTTTTCAAACATCATTTGAAACAAAACCGTTAGGTTTCCTTTGAAATCCAGTGATTGTGAGTCACAATCAAGAGTTGTAGAATTAATCAAATCTTTTGAAATAAGACATGAAGTATAAATAAAAAGCAGCAGGATCATTCAAATGTAATATTGGTCAAATATGTATCTTTATTTTTAGGAGAAAAAAAATAATAGCTTTCAACTTAACTTTGTATTACAGAAATAATTTGATTGAGATATAATGATTCAAAATAAATTTATAAATTAAATATTAGCATTTTCTCGTCTCTTGTATGAAACGCCAGCAAATTTTAAAATGCCAGCCACTTGAGGCAGATTGAATGCAGCAGAGAAATTTTGAGTTAAAGGAACCTTCACATTTTCTTTCATTTTGTCTTTAAACTCCCATCAGTGAGCCTCCACATTTTATTCTATGCTTTTCATGTCATACTTATCCTAAGCAGGGTTGGGTTGAGAGGATCTTGAATGTATTTCTGCTAAAGAACAAGTCTAAAATATCCAGTGTATTGAATCGTATAACTGAAAAACTCGCACTTTTTTTTTATTTGATCTGTCTTTTCCACAGAAACCTCCTCAGCCTCTCTGCATGTGTTCTAAACAGCAGTGATGTGTGTGTCTTTTTTTCTCAGATATAAGCCCATAACCAAGGTAATCATATACTGGATCATATTAATAAAAATGATAAAGGTAATAAGATATAAAACGTTTTATTACATTGAAAACACTCCAGTTTTCCATGCTCTTCAGTTCACAGACAAGTCAGTGTCCGTAGCATTGGCCTAATTCCCAACTTTATCATTTGGTTACCTCATATTCTTTTAATCTATCCATTTTGCTAAAGCTTTCTCCACCATGTTGCTGTTTTACTTGAAACATGCTGTATCTTCAAAGCATCTTTTGTCTTTAGCCATAATGTACCATTATACCTTGCATGATGGAGCACAAATGGAACCACATGTGGCGCATTTCAAGTGGCAAGAGCTATATATTAACCATGTAACATACCATATGCACACATGTGTAATCTGTACTTACACAGCTGGAAGAGGATTTAAGGACATGGAGAACAGAGCATAGGATTATACATTTTTCTTCTCCTGTGGGAAAATAAAGGCTCCAATAGTTCCAACACACATTCATATACATATACTTAGACACACCGTCCTGCGTTGCAAGTCATACTCGATATGCAGTAACGTTTCTGATGTGGTGACTGTTATTTAATAGCGTACGACCAGAAGTGGTTTTCATAAAAGAGAAACGGTGAGGACAAGACTTTTTCTTGCTTGTTGAGGTAGAGATGTTTCAGACTCGTTTGTTAAATAAAAAGCTTGAGGTATAATGGATTTCTGCAAATGAGAAACAACATCAGGGCTAAGGAGCTATTTGAAGGGGCTGTCAAAGGCTTTCTCTGTCTTTATCTTCCTCCTTTCATCTTTCCCTCACCTCTTATCCTTCCTTCTCTCAGCTTCTCATTAGTGATGGTTGTGAAAATGAAGAACAAAGCACAGGAACTGCCAATCGATCTCCAAGCAGAGCCCTCAATTGATTGATTGAGCACAGGTCTCAGGGATGCACACAATTGATGTGGCAAAGACTGATGAGGGAGATTGTTGTGTGTCTGCTTGTATTTGGGTGTTAATACATTGTATCAACTCTAGGATCTAGACTATAGAAGATGTTTTCTCACTTTTTTTGCTGTACATTTTAATTTGTCACTACATTAAGACAATTAGGACTCAGGTGAGAAATGCTGTACTGTTTGAGAAAAATTGTTGTAAACCATTTATTATTGACATATATTAAATTTTTTATTCTCCCTTTTAAGGTTTAATTTATTTCAAGGTGGAATGACTTAAATATTGTGTTCAAATAGGCTGGAGTATACAAATATATGTGCAAAAATAAGTGCCTGCTAACAAGTTGCAGAGGACCCACTTGGTGTTTTTAGAAATCTGGCTAGATACGTGATAGGGATGGTACGATTTATGAAAACCGTCCGAACCATTCGGTTCGACTGTCTCTGTTCGGTTCGCGTGTGTTTCGTTCGGTTCATGCGCTGCTCCTTTTTCTCATAGGCGAAGGGTTTACACTCCAGAGCAGAAGGTGGCGGTACTGCGACCAAAGCCAACCACCAGTAGTAAACAAGAAGAAGAAGCAAAGCAGCGTAGCCGGGTGTAGCAGAAAAAAATCAGTTGTTGTGGAGAATTGTGTGGGTATGGCGAGTGGGAAAGAAGAAGGGTTGGAAGACGCGCCAGCAGCACTTTATAGGTCTGCTGTATGGGACCACTTTGCATTTAGAGTGACCTACGATGACGGCGGAAAGAAAGTTGTGGATAAAAACAGTGTGCAAGCATTGTGCAACACGTTTTGTTTATGCTAACAGCAACACGACCAACATGTCAGGCTAACAATCAACATATACTAAACCGAACCGAAAACCGTGACCACGAAACCGTGAACCAAACCGAACCGTGGAGTTTGTGAACCGTTCCACCCCTAATACGTGACCTTTTCTTGTCAGAATGAATAAGGCTAATTTGAAATAGTTTGCTTTCTAGTACTAATGGTTTTCAAACAAAAATCCACAAATTTTTCTTAGCAAATTTGTGTTTGTTAATTGGCTCTCAGAAACATTCAACAATAAGTCAATTTCAAGGTGACGCATAATAATTTAGATGTAGTCTTTCATGTTCCACTTTGCACCACTCTGTGCAATGCATCAGTACCACTGACTTTCAGCATGGTGGTCCAACCACTGTACCTGAAAGGTCTATGAGCCTTATCTTGAATATCTAAAAAGGTATACTTGCAATTTTGGGTAAGCAACTCAATCTGTTTCTTCTCTAATTGATTGTATTTTTCCCCATAAATTTTTGAGCTTGTTGATCTTGGTCTTGCAGAGTGATTGGGGCTTCAGCGTTTTAAAGTTTCTAATAGGCTTGTGTCAAGGTTGTTGCTGGCTTTATCTTAATCATTGTATCCAATTTCTCTCCATCGTCTGTGTTTAAGCTAACAACTCTACCAATGTAAATAAACTCTAAAATTTCTGTTAAGAGGACCGGTCAGATATCATATCAGGATTATGGAAGACAGTGGTTCAGAAATCATACAGTCTACGAGAACTTTACTAGAGGATACCAAACATTTGTGCAGGTGTATGTATATATTTGAACTTACAATCAGAGTCTCTGCATGTGATTCCTTTTTCCTAAAATGTTGAATTTGTTTTCAGTTTTCATAATCATTCCACTATGTTAAAAGAAATGCAAAGTCAGTGACTTAAACCTCCATCTTTTCACAAATGCCTCGCTGGTTTATCAAAGCCCCCAGAGAAAGAGATGTTTGTTTTTGCTGGCTACATTTTACCATGTCATTTATGTCTTCCTTGGCACCAGTCAACAAACACACACACACACATGCGAAATTATATCATACACTGGCATGGAGTCACACTTTGCTTTGGCGCTGTGTCGTTGTCATTGCCTTTCAGTGTTGTGACTCATGCCAATATTCTGATGTATGACTCCTGCAGCTGTCTGTCTGCAAAAACATGGGTGTGTGGGTGAGTTTTCAATATTTAAATGTGTGTGGATTTTTTACAAGGTGTTGACTAAACGTCAAAATCGTGTCACAGCTAGTCGGATGAGTTGCCCTTGTTTCATCTAAAACTTCTGTGTATCTCTGAGGGATAATGTTGCTACCAAATTTGCATTGAATCGGTTTTCTGAATAACACCTTTTTTTTTTTTTCTCCTTCCCCATTCCCCTTCTATGTCCACAGCTTTGATAGCCATAGGTCAGTACAGTAGCACCATAGAGACCGTGGATGCTGGCTGGTGCAAAGACATCACAGACAAAGGAGCCACACAGATCGCTAAAAGCAGCCGGTCCCTCCGATACCTGGGCCTCATGAGGTGTGACAAGGTAACAAGGCTCATTGCTAAACTTGTGACTACAGCAGATGATTGCTTTGTGTGTGTATTCTGTGTGTGTTCACATATTGTGGCAGAAAGTCATATTTAAGTAAATTTGCATGCATTTGTGTCCCTCAGTAAAGAGTTAAGAGAAGATAGTGATTATTAAAATGGAAATTCAAATATCAAGATTTAACAGTCACTGAAAATATGGCACGTAACGAGCAGAGAATTAAAGTCTTAGATTTGTCATTGAGGCAACACAGTTATTTGCCATCGGGTTCAGAAAACATTGCTATTGAAATTATAGTAGCTTTTTAGTGTAATGAATAGACCACCCGCTTTCACTGTGACTAGAAGTATTGTTATTATTTGCCATTTTATGTTTAGGGTATTTTCAGCATGCAAAATATTTCCTCTACAGTTAAACACTCAATCATGTTTGGTTATGAAAATTAGAATTTATAATTGGTTGTCTCTTCTTCATGTTGACATATTATTATTGTTTTTCGCTCCCGTCTACAGGTACCGCACATGGAAAAAAAACAATAGATAGATTTATTTAAACCAAATCCAAACATCTAATTTGTGTAAAACTTCATCATAGTTATCAGTATCGTCTCTGTAAAACTGTTAAGTTATGCAAAAAATATAAATACAAACTAAAGGTATCCGCAATGAGTGAGGTTACTGGGTATTTGGCTTTCCTGCAGCATAAATGTGTAATTATCCTTCTTCTTCATCCCCCTCATCATCATTACTGCTGGTATTCTTGTTGGAGGTTTCTATAATTTCACTCGGTAGCATATTTACTGTCACCAGTTCAAACACAGAATGTAATCTACATGACATTATATCCTGTTGTCTTGAAAATGAAATGATGTGTCTCATGAGATCTCCTGTGTTATTAAAGGGTAAATAAAGAAAATACTGGATGGATAATGTGTAGATTTGCACATTCGGCATCCACGTTGTTTGCATATATTATTTTGAAAATGTGACAGTAATAACGATTAGAAATAAATTGGACCATCACTCAATGCATTTGTGCAAAAATTATCGGTCCCACAGCTGGAAAATGCATCAAATGTTTCCATCATCTGCTGTATACCAACTCTGTTAATTATGAAAATTTGTGTTTGTGAAAAAAGGATTTCTTAATGAGAAAAGCCACTTTTATCAGCTTGTTGAGCTTCTTTCAGTCATTTGTTCTGATGCTGTTACCCCAGCAGATGATGGCAGNTAAAACTCTCCACAACAGATTTGTAGAAAATATAGAGGCAAAATTAGCACATAGCGGTTCACCAGATCCTTGTACTTGGCTTCTTATTAATCTCTGGTGCATACTGCAAATATGAAATGGGCTAAATAAAATCTGTAGCAATGCTATCGCCTGTTTTATAAGCCAAAAAATGTATTTTTAACCTCAGCATAAAAACATATTTGATGTTATAAATCATCAAATAAATGTGAAAAAATAGAATAACTCTTTGCCAGTCATTACAATGACATTTGTTGTTTTTAGACCTCCATTTAATATCAAATCACAATATCATTGTGTACAGAAGACTTTGGTTTGTGTCAAATGTTTAGATGGATAATATTATTTCGGTTTTTAGTGCGTTCGTGCTTCACATGCCAATCATGAGTTTGACCAGGTAGATGGACTCTAAGTGTCCTTTAAAACAAGAACTGAAATACATTTTTGGCTGCTGAAGCAGCTAAAGTTTAGGGATTGTGCAAATGAAAATGAGATGTTGAAAAAGCAATAAAGGGGTTATAACGGTTGCAGTTTGTTCTCATAATCTCGCAGTTATATGTTTTCCAGAAATTGTGCCGCCCTGGTTGTGGCCCTAGTGCCTAGTTGTCTTCAAAAGGGTCAGGTTGGTTTGGATATGATTTATTTCTTAACAAGTGAATCTTTAAATTTTTTTATGTGCCAAAAAAAAAAAAAAATAGGGTTGAATAAATCTGTATGAGGCTAATCCTTGTTAGAGCATTGTTAATTAGCAGAGGTATATTGACTTTAGGAAATCTTGTCCAATCAGGAACCTTAAAAAAGCTTTTGTAGTTTTGTTACCAGGATAACAACCTGGCCCATCTTTTTTAACCGAACTGCACTAAACTGGTACTAGTTCATCAGTAGAGATTGGTGCGGTTCAGTTCTGGCTCAGTCCTCAGATAACAAAGAGCGCATGAGCAGACCACGTCACCTATTTACAGTCAGCCCCCGTAATCAGGAAATTTCATGCATTCTTAAAAATACTAGCTTCCATACCGTGCCATACGATTTCCAGTGATGATTCTGAATAGCAGTGTGATGAACCTCAACGTCTGTTGTTGTTTCCTGTGTCTGTAAGCCCTGATTAGACTAAAGTTTGTCATATCCACTTTCAAAAAATCGTCTCTGTCAAGTAAATTCACCAAAGACTGCCTTCTTCGCCTGCTTTTCCCAAACATTAAAAATATCACAGTTATAACCAAACTCTCTTAATGTTACGGGCACGCCATGTTCATTTGCTTGTTTACCTCTAGAGATCATTTGTACTGTAGATCGTCACTAGGAGGTGAGGAACCGTGCTGACGTGATGTGTAAACAGTCGTAACGAACTGAGCTCACCATGGTTAACTGATCCAAGCTCAGTCCGACCTCTGCATGGATCAGTTTTCAGAGGGTAGTGTAAATGGGGCTTACTTTTCTGTAGCTCAGCCCAAACCCCTTACCTATATAAAAGGTCTACCTAATAATGCCTTGAATAGATTTCTATCATTTTTTTTCTTTTAGATTTAGAAACATTTTTACATTTGGTTTTGGATTTCACAATAAAATTCCCCAGTCTCCTTTTAAATTGTGCTAGTGATAAAAAGGTGGTGATAAAAAGTGGTAGGAGGAACTTTGACTTATGTTCAAGGCTGTTCAGCAGGTTGGAAACCCATCAGTTTTATCCCTTCATTATAAAATCGGTAGATATCTGCGAGTTGTGGCCTCCCAGTTGACCCTATGGATTTCTTAGATAAAAATGAATGCTCTCAGATGGTTAAGTGTGTCGAGTGCATCAGTGTATCATATTTATCTATTTAGACTGTAATAAAATCATATTACATGAGGATTTGACAGTGACCCCCATTTGTGAGGTCTCTTGGATGAGGCAGTGTACTCGGTTCACATTACAGCAGACATAAATGTGTATCTATCATATTTATCTGTAAGTAGTAAAGTGAAACAGCATTACACAGCAGGTGATCACTCAGACTACATTTTCATTAAGTTCACCAACACCACACTGACTCATTGACCCAGCAATCGATAGATACAGTCGAGCTAATAAAAACAGGAATGACCCACATTTTAAACTGGAAAAAGAAAAACTGTTTAATTTATCCTCTCAGCTTCCTTTTTGACTTGTAAGGGTGATTATTTAGGCATTACAATAGATAATTATCACCTAGGCAGAACAGGGGAAGGAAAAACTGATGTTTATTTATATGCTTTATTTTGTTCTGAGTAAATATCACTTCCATAGTGACCGAAATTGTTTTATTCTAATTTCACATTTAACAAAAGAGTGTAAGATTTCCAAATCTCAAACTGTGTTTTAAAGAGTCATTTATCAATTTTCTATAATTAATTCCACTTTAAATCAATCTATTTAATGTTTTCTTATGTTTATTTCAAAAATGTTATTTTTCCCAAAATAAAAAATAAATTTTGCACAAATCTTAAACTGTACTCTTAATAATCAGTCCATAGTCCAGATTAATTTATAATATGTCATCTTCTGGATGAGTGAAATGTCATCCAGAGTACTTGAAAAACAAGATTACAGTTTAATTTATTTGCTCAATATATCAATCAGAAGCCAACAGCTTTTTTTTTTCTTTTTTTCTTCTTCTTGGTTAATAGTATAGTAATACTATATTTTTTGCAGTGTTTACAAAATGCTGACAGATTAACTATATAAAACTCAGCCTGGTAGCTATTGTTGTGTTTGTTATTCAGAGAAAATGATTCCATAGATACATTTGTATAACAGGAAATAATGCTTAAAAAAGCAGCCATTTCTGTACCCTCCATGCTCTTACAGTACTTGTCTAGACAGTCATGCTTACAAGGCAATTAGACTGATAACAACTGAAACAGACTTGGAAGAGTCATAATTATCTGGTACTCAAGGCCAGTTCTTGTCTTACTCTTGCTTTAGGGTTAACCTCCTTCTGTTAATCAAACTTATGTCTGGCACCTGTGTTTTGTTTTTTCAACAATAGCCATATAGATAGTTTAGATTAGTAACATTCTATATAATTCTTAATTTGGGGTCTGATTGAATTAAAGAGTGAATATTTTGTTTATGTTTTCATTATAAAGTTTCTACTTGGCTCACTTTTCCATAATAGACAGCCTTTTATAGAATTTCTTGCCCAGTTAGGCATGGTGTGTTCCACAATTGTAAAAACAAAAAAAAAAAAAAGATTGAAAAACACATGTGTTTTAGATATGTCTGTTATAGCTCATCAGTTGTTCCAATCCTTCCAAAATGATTTTCGTTAAAAGTCCATTGCTTCAGATATCTAGAGGAAGTAAAACATGCTGTATTAAGCCATGAGCTAAGCTGCTGCATTGAGGGAAAACTAAAGAATCAACCTTTGCTCAAGAAGTCAGGGGACAGATTAAAGTAAAAAAAAGCAAAACACATTAAGTAAAGATACGGAAGCAACATCTGAAAACATAGGCCAGGAAGTTCAAGTTTTGTAACAAAGAAGTCTTTCAAATGGATGATGAGACTTATGCATACAGGTTCATTAACACAACAGCAGCTTAAGAGAAACAGTTGTTTGTGGAGCCTGGATCTCAGGGTCATTGTAGTCCTGTGGTTGGAACTGAAAGATTGTGCATAAAGCCGGGCATAAAGCTGTGCGGTTTTCGGGGCGATTTTCCAGTGAGAATTATTCGATCGGGCGGCTTTCAGCCTGATCATGCGGCGTGTAGTGTAAAGGGGGTAACGAGGAGCG